GTGTGTGTGTGTGTGTGTGTGTGTGTGTGTGTTTCACTGGTCAGAATGGGAACACTGCCCTGTCCATCGCCCGTCGTCTTGGGTACATCTCTGTGGTGGACACTCTGAGGCCCATGACTGATGAAGACCTTACTGCCATGGTGAGACATGATCTTCTTTTCAGCAGCTTTTCAATAAATTCAAGTCCATTTTTCGCCATTAAAGGCTTTTTGTTGTGTATGTTGGAGACTAGGAGTGCAGAAAATTTAAATTTAGTCTCTTCCGGGGCCGCATAGATATCTTTATATTCTGTTTGGGTTATACTTTTCAACCCATTCTTCTCAATTCTCTATCATGTTTTCTGAATTATTATTATTATTATGTCACAGTATATGTGAACCTCTTCATTTGGATTTAAAGAAACAGAATCAGGAGGAGGAGGAGGAATTCAGACCAAAGCATTGCYTTTCCACTTTATATAGACCCCAAATGACTGATTTAAATGTAGAAAAAGAAGACCTTAAAATCACGACATGTCTCRTTTAAGTTTATTTGATGATATTTAAAGAAAAGACTGAGGAATAAAACTTTGGTCATGCGAATAAAACAAGAGCTCTTGGTAAATGGACTGTACTTGTATAGCGCCTTTCTATCCAACCAGGACACTCAAAGCGCTTCACACTYCAATCTGTGCCCTCGTTGACCCATTCACACAGCACTCTATTAGAGATCTACAAAGCTAACYTGCAAATCTTCTAATTAGTGCCAATCACATTCATACACTGATAGGACACATATCAGAGGCATTAGGGCGTGTCTTGCCCAAGGACACTACTACTGAGACAGCAGGAATGAGGGGTCGAACTACCTGTTCCAGGACAACACCCCTAACCWCTCCGGTGTGTTTGTGTGTTTTAGAATAAATGAAAGAAATCCTTAGTGTATAACTTATTGAGCCACTCCTATTAACCAAACTGTTTCTGCCATTATTTTCTCACATAAAAGCTCAGCCAGTCAAACAGCAGATTACTGCMTTGTTCAGTGAGCGTACAAACGCAACGAATCAGTTGTCCCGATTAAGACACAGAGAGAAGGCTTAAATTAGAGATTAAGATTTCCCCTGACTTAGCRGGAGTCACTACCTGTGATCTTATGAACACGCACAAAAATAAAGAAGGAGAGAGTGGAAGAGAAAAGATAGAAAGCAGAATGAGTAAGCAGTGAAAGGGAGAAAAAAAAGTCTCTCAGGATCCAACACGATCAGCATCAGAGAGGCTGTAAAAGATCAAGGTCATCTCCTTTCTGGTGCAGAAATCTCTGCTGGGGTTTTTTACTGTAGCTCGTAAATCCACAACTGCAGCCTGGTTCATCGTTCACCTTCTGACATCACATCATCAACCTCAACATTTATGTCAATGATATCTTTTTAAACATATTTTCACTTTTGTTTATGCAGAGCGCTTCAGAAAAGCACAAAATCAATGTCCCAGAGACCATGAATGAGTTCCTTGACATGTCAGACGATGAAGGTACAGTGAAGATTATTTTTATTACTAAATGCGAAGTTAATATTGGATCAATCTGGATGATTGTTTGACTTTTTGTTTTGGTCTAAATCGGATGATTGCATGTTTTATTTTGTTTGTTTTGTTTGTTTTGGTGGGATTTTTAACATTTTTGCATGTTTAACTGTGTCCAAATCACACAGTTCAGGCAAATATACCAGAAATTCTCAAAGAGGAGTCTTTTACAGATGTTGATGAAGGTACAGTGGTTTGCAAAAGTATTCATACCCCTTGAACTTTTCCATAT